GAAGAAGTCTTACTGTCCGCCGCCTCCGTCGACTTATATATACATGACCGGACCACCCGGAGATTTGTATCCCGTTGATCAGCAGTTTGGAGGAGCTGCTGGTGGAGAAAGCTTCACGGTGGTGAAGATCTTTGGTCTGATTACGTTTGGAGTTACATTCTTGATGAACATGAATTGATGATTTCTTGTACGATCGTTTTCATAGATTTGTTTTGCTTTAACTGATGGGGTATAACGCTAATTTTCGCCAGAAATGTTGATTTCGTCTTCAAATTCTGAATCTATCATAGGTTAAGGAATGCATGTATTGGTATCTTTCTCCAAATTTCTCATAGTGAATTCTAAATTAATGTCTAAATCTAAAATTTGTATTGAGTTTTTTCTTTGTCAGCAAATTAAATTAAGTTTAGAAGACCCATTTAAAACGTCTTTAATATAGTAACCAAGGACCTAATAATATAATTTTATAGATAGAACGGTTCAATCACTTGCTTAAATCTACTAGGAAAATATTCACCATTCGACACTAAAAAAAAAAAAATTGCATGTTTTGATCTGATAATTACAAACCGTAAAGCTATATAGAAATATTTATTTTCTTTTTGCATAATGTCTAATTTCATAGTGGTCCGTAAATTGTCGTTTTCATTTTTAAAAGCAAATTTATAGCTCAGTGAGTTCTACTCTACTTTGATTTCACAATTACTAAGTGATTCTTTCGCATATACGCGGATAAATTATTGATGTAGTTTTGTTTTTAAGTTTAGTGAAATATATAGTTGTTTGATTTTTATTATAGACATTGTTGTTGATTCTTTTGTTGTTAAATTTTTTGGTCAGTAATATCATTTTTATTAATAATATGAATTTCAGAAATTTAGTTTTACCATTTAAGTATTAATGTGTCAAGTCAAAATGTATAATAATAATATAATAAATTAGAGTTAAAAAATGTTAAATTTGGCTTGTCCGAATATATTAAATAGTATTTAGAATACAAATAAATTATTTAATAATTTAAACATTAAAATATATAATCATAAAATTATAAATGAAATACAAATTGAAAAAAAAAATTCTCCTTTCGAATTAAAAATTGTTTTTATTACTTTCAAATTGTCTTGCGTTAAAAAAACATTTCAAAAGAATAATTATATTTGTTGTTATAAACTTGGGAAGTTATTTTATATATGTACACGTGTCAAATAAAAAAGTATAATAATTTAATACAATAGAGTTAAAAAAAAACATGTTAACTTTGGATTGTCCAAAGACCCTAAGTAGAATTTAGAATACAAATAAATTATTTAATATTTTAAAAAATTAAATATATAATCATAAATTTTATAAATAAAATGCGAATTAAAAAAAACTGTTGCTTTCGAATAAAAAAATATTTTTATTACTTTCAAATTGTCTTGCGTAAAAAAATTCAAAGTCTCTTTTAAAAATAGGAAAATTTGAGAATTTTTCAAAAACATTCAATTTGTAGTTTTTAACATATTTACATATATTTGGTGTATGTCACCATGTATTACATAATAGTTTGGGTAGTTTAGAATATATTTCTATATTTGGGATGGTTTGCAACATATTAGTCAATACTTGGTGTAGGTAAGAATAATTTTTCCTTTGTAGAAACCCATTTAATATGTGTTCATTTTGATTGATTTATAGTCTTTTAAACAATTTAAATTTTAAATAAATAACTAAAATTATTTAAATAATATATTTAAGAAACTCATAGAGTTTCTATGCATTGGAGATGCTCTCAGAACTCATAACCTTTTTCGTTTACTTTTTAGTCTAAGAATATTTCAATTTTCTTGTAATTACTTTTTTTTTCTTACATCTTCTTTTTTCATTCACCATGAACCAATAAAAATGATAAAAATTTCATTTTCAGTTATAACTCATCCTCTATATATTAATTGAACAAACTCTAAGGTGAAAATTCTATGTGTCAATCAGTGAGAGTTTTAAAGAACATGTCATTCAAATTAACTAATGAAAACATGTCAATTAATTTTACATATTCTTATTAATTTTATAGCAGAAACCCATTAATACATGTTTTGCAAGTCCAACTAAATGTAATTTTTAAACTTACCACATCATCTATTTTTAAACTTCTTTTATATTTTAAATTTTTATTATTATTTTATTATTTATTGTGTATATATGTATTTAGATTAATATGATATATAAAATATTTACACATTTCATTATTGAAAAATATATATTGCTTTTCGTTTATTATGTCCGACAAATTCATATAAATTTAAAATTTATCTGTTTTATCGCATGCTATATAATTTACACGAATAATAAAAATTAATTTTACACTTAAAATATATTGAAATAAATAACATTTTATATGTTTTGATCAATTGCACATAAAAATATTAAAACTGATGACATCAAAATATGTTTGATCAAAATTTAACTTGATTATACTTATGCACAATGTATATTATTTTGTAAGTTTATAAATATTAGAAATCATATGATTTGTCAGATATATTTACATATTAAACTATATTTATTCATTTAATTCCACATTTAACGTAGATCAAAATCTAGTTAACAATAAAACTAAACCAGTTCATTTCGATTGATTGAACTAATTGTATTGTTAATAAATGTAGAAGCCTTTGGATACT